AACTTGCTGAAAGCATCTTGTCTGTTTATGTAACATGCTGTATAACTTCTGAAATGTATATAGGGTTTGATTATTATTACAAACTACATACTGTATATGTATCTATCTGATTAAATTCCTATTACTCACTAAATATTAATTTTAGAACTACTAAAGTCCAACCAGCACAGAACATCATACAATAAAACTGAGTTTGTATTGTATGAACTATGCGATGCATTTTTACTGCATAATCTAAGCACAATTTTATCTACTTATCTAAATGGGGACATAGACTTGGATTGTTGTTATATACAGCTAGTTAGAAATACTGTATAGCTTAACTGTAACACTCACCCTAAACAGAAAACCTGCATTTTTTTCCAATAAAAAAAACAACAACAAACTTTGACTTTTTTATTTTTTATATTGTTTTTAAAAATAGGACGTTTTCAGCACTTCTATGAACAAATATGTCCCTAAATATGGTTAAGTAGGCACACACACACACACACACACCTAAGAAAACTGGAACTAAAATAAAACTTTCCATGATGTCCAAACATATGTGCTAAATATTTAAAATGTCAATAATTCAAATAATCTCAAATGCCCTAAAGCACATTGTGTGTGTGTGTGTGAGTTTGCACACAGGGGGCTAAAATAAGCATTCAGGGTAACACACAGCCATCATATCTGAACACACAAACTGTACAGTGACGTAGATGTTGACATGCCAGATATCAAACATCAAATATAGCAGATTTGACTAATGCACCTGCTTAGGAAGAAAAAAACATAAATGACATCTGAATCATTTCTCTCCCTTTGCACACGTGTCTAGAGTTCCAAAAAATATCTCAACAGTATCTCAAACTGTGCTCAGGTTTACCACAGTAGACTGCAGTCAGAGATCTCAATATGAACTTAAACATTTCTCATTAAATGATCTGAGCTGCTGTTCACACTAACGCAAGATGATATTTGGAATACTTGTCTTATTATAGAGCATAGACCTTTCAGCTCAGTCCACGGCTCATAAATCATCAGCGGCTCCTTTACAAAACCTGCTGACCAAGTCAACCTCTCATTCAAAATAAATGACTTCCTGCCACTTTAAAAAAAAATACATTACATTAAAAATACACAGAATACACAGAGCAACTAAACAAGAGTTCAATAGAAGCATGTTCATCTAGACCTGTCAATCACAACACAAGAGTAAACACATAAACAGCTGCTTACCTCAGTTCATTACCGCCCATCTTCATAGAAATGTCCACTTTATTAATAATTCATGTTTTCCAGGAGGTTATTTGTTCAGGCCTTCCATCAGCAAGCTTAAAATGTTTACCTTTATCCAAATATTTCCTACTATACAAGTATATTAACATGTGAAATCATTAAATTATGTATAATTGTAATTGTTTTTAATCAATATTTCTGTGCTGATTATATTTAAAATGGATGAAAATATATTTAAAATCAACACAAACTTTGCTTCAACTCTGTCAGCCATCTTGGATAAAAGTTCATCACAATGCATTCTGGGATTGAATAACATAATAATATAATATAATATAATATAATATAATGGAAACACATTTTCAATTTTATAAAATAAAATTATTCTAGTGAACTGAATTAAAACATTGATATCATAAAATAATGTTTTAGAATGTCAAATATTTTAAATAATTTTAAATATATATATATATAAAAAAAGAAAACATTTAAAGATCTGAAAAATAAAAATGTAAAAAAAATGTGTCAGAGTTCACATACATTTAAAGGGGTCATATGATGCTGCTAAAATTAACATTATTTTGTGTATTTGGTGTAATGAAATGTGTTTATGCGGTTTAAGCTTAAAAAAACACATTATTTTCCACATACTGTACATTATTGTTTCTCCTCTATGCCCCGCCTTTCTGAAACGCGTCGATTTTTACAAAGCTCATCGGTCTGAAAAGCGAGGTGTGCTCTGATTGGCCAGCTATCCAGAGCGTTATGATTGGCCGAATACCTCAAGCGTGTGACGGAAATATTACGCTTCTACCATATTGTGATGCTGTGTCCGGCCGGAGCGACGAGACAAAAACATTAAAACCCATTATAAACGATTTTAAATTATGGGGACATAATTATGGATTATAATGACTTATACTGTCTTTTTACGCGTTGCGTTGCATCGTTTGCAAATGACAAACAACAAGCCCTACTCTACACTGCCCAAAAAACTCACTTTAAATATAAAAAATATCAAATATAAAAACTCTTTAAATATAAAAAAGAGCGAGGAACAGCCGGGGGCTAGAGTGAGCAGAGGCGGTGGATTCGACGAAGGATCATCTGGAGGGCTTGCAGCAACCACATGTGACGACCCTGGGCTGGTCTTGAGTGAGCAGAGGCCGGGGGCTAGAGCGAGGAACAGCCGGGGGCTAGAGTGAGCAGAGGCGGTGGATTCGACGAAGGAGCATCTGGAGGGCTTGCAGCAACCACATGTGACGACCCTGGGCTGGACTCTGCTTCGTCCACGGTGAAAGCCGATCCGGTGATCCACAGCGCAAAGTTGTAGTATTTCCTCAGCGATCAGCACGGATCAGCTCCAGGCATGACGAAGCAGATATCGTCCTCTTTTGGAAGACCAAACTAAGTAGTTTCGCTTTCACAACGAAACACAGCACCTTCACGACATGGCGGCGGCGGCAACAACAATACTACAGCGAGAATAAAAGTTACGCCTTCTTTCTTTGCGTGAACATTTGGGGCGGTGTTATGCAAATCTTCCCACACAGTGACATAGACATGTGAGGCGTGTTAGAACGAGCCGTTTTAGGTAGGTGTGGCTGAATCTTAACTTTTATAAAGAATATCTCTTTGGATTTGAGACTTTAGTATTTGCAACTTTACAGATCTTCTTTATGCACCAAGAGCTTGTAACACTCCAAAGAGAAAGGAAAAATTTTAATCGCATCATATGACCCCTTTAAGTGATTTAAATTTGAGTTTAAACAGTCAAATTACATTAAATTAAATTACATTTTCAGGCACATTATTTCACAAGAACCAACTTCACGAAATGCACAAGATGTAATTGTGATTTTTTTGTTTTAATAAAGAAAATGGATATTGTATATGTATGGTTGTTCAATGTTTTGCCTGTCTGTCTGTTTTTAGCAAACACAGAGTTTATGGGGTTGATCTTCCAGCTGCCTATTAGGAAAGCAGGACAGAGCAGCAATAACTCACTCCACCAGTCTGGAAACCAGTGGAGAGGTTAGAAAGAAGACAAAGAGAGGCTCTGAACAATGTTACATGCTCTGATGGATGATGGATGTCTCGTGTCTCCGTCTCTTGGTGACTGGTCAGATGAAGGGGTGGGAAGGCCTGACCTACAGTACATGCTTAAAAATAAAGCCATTGCCATTGATGGTTCCATGAAGAACATTATTATCCATGGAAACACTTCATTCCAAGTGGTAAAAAATACTTTAGGTCATTAAAATGTTCTAAAACTCTGAACTGAAATGTTCTTTGAGGAATCTAAAATATTTTTTTTCTGTGGCATCACTGCGAAACCCACCCTTTTGAAATCGTTATTTTATAAGAGTGTAGACCAGTGCTAAATGGCTATCGTTAGCGCTACCCATTAATAAATAATGTAAATAATAAAATATTATATTTCAATTTGTTGTATTAGTTATATAATAATTATATTCGGTAATCCGGTCCATCCATTCAGTAATTCAGTCCATGGTCGTCCATGCGGCCTCAGGCCATCAGTCTCGAGACGAAAGGCGGTCCGCGCTACCGAATTTTCACTGCTGCACATAATGTGTCCGTACCATTGGAGCCGTTTCTCCATCATCTTGGCCATGATTGGCGCAACACCCAGCCATCGTCGTACATTTCCGTTTATGACGTGGTCGAATCACGTTGGAGGCTCCAACGAAGCATTCGCATTTCCATGATGTGGAGAGCTTGCTCGTGCTTTGCTGTCACCGGCCAGCATTCGGATCCATACAGGGCGACTGAGTGGTCCACGGTCTTGTAGATCTTTGACTTGAGGCGCAAAGGCATCCGGGTGAGGCGACTGAAGGTCAGCGGTGACGGTTTCCATACAGAGAATAAACAAAAGGGGCGATAAGGCCAATCCTTGGTGCACTCCGACATTGATGGCAAATAGCGGCGTCATTTCGGCCTCGCACCGGACCACACTGGTGACGCCTTGGTAAAGGAGTTGGATCCATCGGCCGTAGGTCTCGGGGACATTATGCGATTGTAGGGCGTGCAATATGAGCTCATGCAGGACGCGATCGAAAGCCTTTTCCAGGTCGAAGAACGCCATTTGGACAGGCTTGTTTTTCTCTCTATGTTTCTCCAGGAGTAGGCGAGCCGCATGGATGACGTCCGTTGTCCCGCAGACCTTGACGAAGCTGCATTGGTTCGGCGTGATGCTATCAATCTTCCGAAGTCTGATGTCGATGACCCGTTAGAATACTTTCATGCTGTGGCATAGAAAATGGATTGGACGGTAGTTTGAGCACTCCATCACATCGCCCTTGCCCTTTGAAATGGGCACCGTTATGCTGGTCATTGTGCCATCATCGATAATTCGACTGAAAAGGGCGGCCGAGAATCTCGGCTCCTTGGTGGCCAAGGATTTTCCACACTTCGGCAGGAATGTCGTCGGGGCCAGTGGCCTTTCCGTTCTTCATCTTCTTCAAGGCTTCTTCAACTTCTTTGATGGTTATCGGTGGGATGGGTCTGGGGGTCGGATCAGCGCTTTGGATCGGTGGGTGGTCGAATTCTTCATTGCTGATTTTGGCGAAGTAATTGCTCCAGAGTCGGAGGATGTCGGGCATGTCTCGGATGATTCGGTGGTCTTCAACCTTGACCTTTTTGATTTGGCCGATGTCCTGGGTGGCTCGGTGGCGAGTTGGGCAACCGATAGATCTTCTTTTCCCCTTCTGGCGTGTCCAACTCCACGTATAGCCGGTCGTAATGGGCCCCACGGTTCATTTTGCAGCTGATTTGAAAGTTTTGCATCGTTGGAGATCGCCGTCGGTGCGGGACTGAAACCACACTTTGAGCGCCTGCTTCTTCACGAGTTTCAAATCTCGTCGTCGGATAAGCATGTAGTCAATTTGCGTTGCGCGGCCGCCATTGGCGCAGGTCATGAGGTGGCTCGGCCTCTTCCTGAAAAAGGTATTGACCACCGCCATGCCGTGGGTTTCAGCGCACTCCAAGATGCAGTCGCCATACCCGCTTCCGCCGTGAAACGCATCATATCCGCCCCTAGCCGATCCAACATGTCCATTTAGATCGCCACCAATCGCGATGTATTCGTCGGGGCCCACGGTCCGAAGGTGGGCGTCTAAGCTCTCCCAGAAAATGTCCTTCGCGTTGTCAGGGCAGCCGGTCTGTGGGGCGTAGCCGGAGACGATTCGAAGAGTCATTGCACCCGATTTGATCTTGATGGCCATGAGCCGATCGGAAATTCGGTGGATTTCGGTGACATTGTCCCACTGCTTCTCACTGACCACGATCCCGATGCCATTGCGGTTGCTGCTGGTCCCGTAATAAAGTTTGTATCTTTCGCCAATCTCCTTGGTCTTTGCTCCTTTCCATTTGGTTTCTTGTAACCACGCAATGTCGATGCGGCAGTTCTTTAAAGCTTCGGCCAATTCTCGGCTTCTTCCGGTCATCGTTCCAACGTTTAACGTCGCAATTCGTATTTGGGCTCTCTTCTTTAACCCACTTAGTCCATCAGCGGGGAGCCCTCGCACATTTCTCATGTCGTTTGGGCAAGAACTACGCGCATCATCTACAGGGGACACCTTAGCAGTCAGATCCAAATTTTGACTAGGCGTAGCCATTGATGCAACCAAAAAATACTCCAACCGATGCTTCGCTCCACCTGTCGTTGGAGACTGTCACCGTTCGTTAACTTCCCTCGGGTCGTTGTCCAGCAGGCACCACGTGGAGGTGGTGATCAGCTTTTGCCCGCCATAATATAGTAATTTTATATAATTATAAAATTTGAATTAATATAGTAATTTTATATAATAATTCAAATAGTGCTGAACTGAATAATTAAATTAAAACACACACACACATATATAGTTACGTCCCTTTTGTTCTATGTGTTTTTTTCTGTTTTGGGAGGTGTTTGTGTGTCTCTGTCCAGGAAGAAGACTGATTGGTTCCTGCAGTCTAATTGGTGCCACTCCCTGCCCGGTCTCCTGACTCCTAGCTGCCTATAAAAACCTCCCTCATCACTTCCGGCATCAGCCTTGTGCACACTTGCTGTGTTTGCTCTGCTTGACCCTGCCAGTTAGTTACAGATGTGTTAGTAAGACTGAGAGTATCTCTGTGTGTTCATTTGAGTGTTTGCCTGAGAGATTGATTGTTGTTTGTTAGTTTGCTTAGCCCACTCATTCGTAATACAGACCACCGCATGTTCTTTGACCTTGATTCTGGATTGCCCCTGTTTGGATATGTTTGCTCACCTTTGTAAATAATTGTACATATGTTTCTGGGGAAGTTGGGAGACCGATGCCATTTTTGTTGGAACCTTTTTTTGATTGTTTTTGGATAGGGAGGTAGGGAAGTAAATGCATTTTCTTTTCTTTTCTTTTGTGAACGAGGGTAGATAGAGGTATAAGAATTAGGTTTTTGTTTGTTATCTTTGCGTTGTCGGTTCCCGAAGCTAAAATCCTCCCAGTTGTACTGTAAAACCATTGTGCTCATTAAAATACTGCTCCTTGTTTTTTTTTTTTTAAAACACTCTTCCATGTCATACTCATGTTGTGCCCTTACCCATACCCTCTTATTTATATATATATATATATATATATATATATATATATATATATATATATATATATCAATTAATATATATTTAAATTGTTATTAAATAAAACATTTTAATTTAAATGTTTTTACTTTTATGAATTAAATAAAAAAATAAAACTGATATGCTCATAAAATATTTATAGTTAGAGTCTGACAATCTGAGGGTGAATGAAAAATAAAGATCTGAAAAATAAAAATATTTTTAACATGAGGATAAAAAGGTCACAGAGTTTACATAAATTTAAGTGATTTAAATATGGGTTTAACCAGTCAATGTTGCATTATATGAAAGAAAATCATTGCAACAGAATCTGAAGAACATTGCTGGGGGTTTTTTTACTTCAAAGATTTCACCAGTCTTGACTTTCATTGGCAGTTCATTGCACTTTTCACAATGGTCACATCTATTAAGAAGCGATTTCACATCTTTATGTCTCTCTGAGGGAAATGCTCCTCTTAACCCTTATACACAGTAAATGTGTCTTCTGAATCTCAAGGTTAAACTGTGCCTGTGAAGCTGCCCATCTCACAAATAAAGATCTGACGTCAGAGATGAATCTCACTCTGAACAACAGCATGCAGCACATACGACACACAAACAGCCACACATTCCACTGCATCTCATCAGATGCACATAGCATGTTCCTGTCAACTCGGACAGATAGGAGAAACACTTCAACCCAGGTTATTATTGTTGACTAAAACTAAAACTATTTAAAAACATTTTTGTTCATTGAAATAAAGCTAAAATGAAATATAAATATTAGATGGAAAACCTATGTACTTTTATAGCTTTCATTAATAATTTTAATTGAATTTTTTTAGCTTTATTTCAATTTTAGTCATTTTTACATTTATCTTAATTTTTAGTTATGTATATATTGCTAAATAAAATTAACTATATATATATATATATATATATATATAAATTAACTTTATATATAATATAAAAAATAAAATCAATATATAAAAATAAAAGCTAATTCAAAATGTTAATTAAAGCTAAAAGTACTAAAATAACACTGAATGCAACAGCAGTATTGTACACACACACACACAGACACACACACACACACACAGAGACACACACACACACACACACACACACACACACACACACAAACACACACACACACACACACACACACACACAAAGACAAA